GATGGAGATGACGGCGACATAGGACCTCCTGGTCCAAACGGTCCAAAGGGAGGACAGGGAAGGCCTGGACCACCCGGACCGCAAGGTCCGCGAGGCGACAGAGGAGAAAGAGGAATGAAAGGAGTGAAAGGTCCGGAAGGAGAACAAGGACCAGAAGGAGATATGGGGGGAGGATAAAAGCAACAGGAGATGTGGTATTAGCGAGAGATGTCGAAACAGTGATATCACTTCTCTTATTTTGCTTGTTTTTGTTCGTATTAGATGTGTCCTTCCATTATGTCATAAAATTCATACACTTGAAATTATATTTGGTGCCTTGGTGGAATTTGCTTACGAACGCTGGAAGATACAATTTGAAGTTTTTTGCAATTTTGAAATGCATCAATTTTAATTTGAATATCAAAATATGTTAACTTCGAACTCATGCAAGCAAAGCCGTTTTGCAGCACTTACTGCATCCGAACTTTTTTTCACTGACAAGAAGTAATACCACAAGTAAAAAATGATCAGAAATGAGTCAAGATAGCGAAATCATCACAAATTAGACAATGTGATGAATTTGTTAAGGGATTAAAGAAGGATTACTAGGAAGGTATAAATGTCATGATTTTTGATTCAGGAGAGTAGATTGCTATTTTCACGACAACTATAATTGAATAGAATTAGATTGGATATATTGACAATCAAAAGTAATGATGTGGGGACTTCATCGAGCCTCTTTGTCTCGAGAAAGCGGCACACGTCTTGTTTGAGGAGAGTCCCAGTGAATCCGTCCTTCATACAGTATTCAACGTAGTTGTAAATATCCAATATTGGGCAGTGCAGGGATAGTAGATAATGGGCTTAATAGATAAGCCCAGAGTCAGGCAATGTCATGTTGGGGAAGGAAGAAGAGATGAAGACAAAGAGCATTGTTTGATTACTTGTTAGCTACATTTGTAGTTATACGTAAAAAAGACAAAGATATTATAAAGCAATAACTCTCAATGAACTATAGTAACGTAAAGAGGTCATATGACAAGGAATTAAATTTAACAAACACAAAATTGTGAAGCGCAGCTTCCTCAGCCTAAGTGTCAGTGATACAAATCTCAATTCATATGAATTTTGTATCACAAATTTTCGGATTTCTCTACACTCCCGATTAAAGAACATTAAAATTATCGAGAAGAGAAGTTTGGATTCTGCCTCTGCCTTACCGTACTTCCTGTTCGTAGAGCAATCAGTTCTTCCTCTACTAATGGTATTGATTGATCTTTGGACGCTCTGAATCGCCTACTTCCAAGAAATAAAGCGTACTTATCGATCTATCAAGTAGTCTTTCACTTAGCATTTGTACCGTTGCGCTTCTTATTTTTTCATCCGTTTCTCGTTCGATTTCCATTATTTTGGTTAATTTTCACATACTACGAGATGTTTCAAATTTATTTTTTCTAAGACTCATCAAAAATTGCTAATAATTGTTTGCTTTGGTTGTAATTTAATTATGTTTAGTTTCTGTATGTGGCAGTGATTTTAATTCCTATATTTTTGTTTAAAATTTTTGAAAAATTTTCGAAAGTCTACGTATCTTAATAGTTAAGCTTGCCATTTGATCTAGACGTGATGAGTTAATAATTTAAAAATGGCACAATTACTGGCCAGCTTATCAGTGGTTTATTTTTCTATGAATCAGGAATTGATTCCCAGTTTAATAATTATCCTGGAAGATTTTTCCTACAAAATTAATTGATAGTTCAAATTGGA